GGCCCCAGGAACTTCCCGCGCAGCGGGGGCCGGCGGCCGGGCGCCGGGATGGAGAAGTCGCCGGCCGGGCTGCGCTCCCGGACCCGGGTCGCCGCGCGGGGACCGCCTTGCAGCAGCGCCCTCTTTTGGCGGCTCTGGGTGCGGCCCGCATCTGTCGGCCTGTACTTGGTGTAGGTCTTCCTGTTCATGTTATTTTCCTGTTCCTGTGCAGACGGGGTGGCAGTGTCTCTAACACCGATGTACAACTTTGCATCCCTCTTAGCAATGTTAAATTCCGCTAGGAATTTCCAGCTAATTCTGCTAATTCTGTGCATCTGCGTAGAGCTCCTAGAGCCATAGATTTATGTGCAAATGAGTGTGAGGGTATAGTCTGGGTGCCCAGGGGGGTGTGCGTGGAGTGTGGCATGGGTTGTCTATATCTCTGCCTGTGGATATTTCACTTTCTGCTCCCATCTGTCTATGAGCAAGTACCTATGAGCGTAGGCTGTGTCCCTACATATTTGAGTCTTAGTAGTACACACATTTTTATCATCTCCCCAAGGCTGTGTCTGTACAAATGTGCAGGGGTGTAAGGGTGTGTGAGTGTGTGTGTGTGTGTATGTGTGGTGCATGGAGCCACAATTGGTGGTAATAGCATATTTCTGAAACCCAGATGTTAAAGGAATAATGTACGGAAGGGTACTCCAGATATACTAAAACCTTTGCCCTTCATCTCATCCTCCTTGGCTTCGGGAGAACCATAGATTTTGCTTTTGGGCGCTCTAGCTTACAGTTGCCCGATCCTGACCTAAACTCAGCCTCCTGCGTGACTTCTCCTTGGCCTTCCTTCTTCTCCAGTCTGTGGTACCGAGGGAGGCTGCCTGCTGATATCTCTAAGCACCTTGGCCATGATGTCAACCCAAAGAAGACAGCATCCCATCTCCTTCCTTTTTCTCCACCCAAAAGTCATTTCCTCTTAGTTCATTACCTGGGATTTTGATGTTTGTGTTCCCTCAGCATTATTGATACACACAGAAAAAAAAAAAAAGGAACTTCTTGAAATTCCCCCAGAAGGTTTTCAGAGTTGTTTTCAGTGTTGCAACTTGGAACAAGCCAGTTTCTAGTTTAAGTTTCCATCAGAAAGCTTGGTAGGAGAAGGGTATATAAGCTCGAGTAGCAGCAGCAGCAGCAGCAGCAGAAGAAACAACGGTTTCAGACCCAGCAAACTCTGCAGCCTGGCTGGAAGCAAGGTAAGCCCTTCCCCAGCCCCTGTCACCCCTCCACAGGCCCGCAGGCTGTCTGGGGGCAGGCACCATGGGTGCACCTGGCACCGTGGGGTGAGTGGATTCCTGGAAGCATTCCTGGTCACTTACTTGCTGGGACAATAGTGAAAAGTCAGTACTTTGGCGACTGATGTCTAAAATATTAATTTAAAAAGTCAGCTAATAATAATTGTATACCAAGGTCTGTGAGCGAATGCACATTTTATAGAAAGCTTTGTTTTGTCTTGTTTAAAAGTGGTATGTATATAAAAGTGTGTTCCTCCACATTAATGCCTGTTAAAGGACTGTATAGATTTAAAGTGAGTGGTATTTGCCTTAATATTGTGAACTTTTTGAAAGCTTTTCATTCATTAAGTACTAATAAATTCAATAAACCAATGGATTCATATTTATACCTCATAATTGAATGTTACGGAGTATACTTGCTTCCATATTGTGATGGACTTACTAGTCACTTGTGACAGTCAACCAGACTGATAGCTGGGTTATCCAGATCTTTTGGATTAACTAACTTTGGCTCCACTTAAAAAATGGAAAGCAACTGAAATGTCTAAAACTACTTTCTGAAAAGTTTTAAAATCTATGAGAAGGAAAAAAAAGATACTCTTTACTGTACTGGTGTCTTACAGTTGCCCAAGTAAATTGTGTGCAACAATTTTCAGATTAAAAAAATAATGATCAGGTTAAAATATCATTTTAACAAAGAGACTACCAAACCCCAGCTGATGACCCACTTTTTTCAAATAAGGAATTTCAAGGTATTAGAAAGAATTTGGGCAGCCTCTTAGAGTTCATTTTACTGGGATCTGAAATTTTATCATTTCTGTACATTCATTCTTCTAATAATTAATGAAATCCTTCTATGGTAGAGTCTTTATGCTAGACTCTGGGGATAGAATATGGAATAAGAGGGACATGATCCCTGCCATCAGAGACCTCAGTGTGGCAGGGAAGATGAACATTAAAGAAATAACTATGTTATTGCAATTGTAGTAAGTCCTATGAGAGGAGGAATGGGGCTCTGTGAGAGCAAATAGCCAGGACTCCTGACTTCATCTGGGCACCATGCTGGATACTTTCCATGAATTCTTTCATCACCTCCTCACCACAGCAGGATGCCCATTTCACAGATTAAGAGTGTGAGGCTTAAAGAGGTCAGTGACTTCCCCAGAGTCTCACCCCCAATAAGTGGCAGAACTGGGATGCCAACGCAGGTCTGCCTGGCTCTACAACGGGGGCCCTCTGTATGTGCTGCCCATGCCTCCTGTGACTATGTCTTTTTATTTTTAAATAATAATGCTCTTTTCTAATCAAAAAGTAACAAAATAAAACTTGAAAAAGAGATGCCCACCCAAATGTCATTGGCATGCCCATCTTGGCACCAGTGTTAGGAACCTTAATGTACCACCTGGGGTCCCTGCATCCCTCATACAAGCATTTCAGGAGTTTAGAAAACCTATGAAATTACATGAAAAAAATGTTTAATCCTCAAGACTCTCAAACTCAGCATGTCAAGGAAATGTGGGCTGTGGGATACGGCTCCCCGGCATCAGCTGATCTAGAGGATGGCAGGGTAACCACCTGCTGCCCCCTTTCTAATTTGCCCTGGGTTTGATTAAGACAGTGACCCTCCGCCATCTCCACACCCTGGTTTAAAATGTAGGTGCTACTAAAATGGGAGTTGTTTCTTAGACTGGTCACCAGGGCTCCCTTGACCCTGAAGGGCAATTCACCTGAAATTCTCAAATGCATCTGAGGCCCAGAGAAGAATAGCTGGGCACATAGCCAAGGGGAAAACCCCAGCATTAAGGGAGTATAAAGGAATCACCAGGAGGTGCCAGGAACCTCTGTCGTTTCCCTTCCCGGGGTGCCGACATCTGGGTTTTACAGGCCTGTGTAATTGCAATACCTCTGTGGGCATTTCCCTACGCCAGGCACGATTTTTTTGTCTATCCGTTGTATAGAAAACAGAGAGATACCAAATTTTTCCTTTATTGCTTCCCCTAGGTACAAGCTAACATGCTATTCGTTGCCTTCTATAATGTGTCATCTCGTTGCATTCTCCCAGCAACGCTTCGAGATGGGTATTATGTCCATTTTATAGATGAGGAGACTAAGGCTCAGAGAGTAATTTGGCCAGCATCACACAACTAGTGAGCGGTGGAACCAGAATTGGAGCCTGTATCTTCTTGAATCCAAGCCTATGAATGTGCTAACTGATGCTCTGTGGCAACTAGCACTTTACTACAGTCATAACTTGACTAAATTGATAGGCACACCCCGAAAGCTCCGTGCTGCCGTGACAAGAGCACTGAGTACAGGGAGGCCTGACTTCTAGTCCTGTCTCTGCCACTCATAACCTTTATAATATAAGGGAATAACGTACATAGCAAGGTTCCCCTGCCATTAGCAGCAGTTCTGACAAAGCTGTAATTTGTCAATATTCAGTCCCCTAACCAAGGGAGGCTCACTTTTAAGGTATTTGGCTGAAAATTTTGTGCCTTGTTCTTCATATGATTTAGATAGTGGTTTCTGAAACCGTATTCCTGCAGAACATTGGTGCTCTCTGAGATGGATGGAGATGTTTCAGACTGAAATTAAATAATAATCATTTCTAGCTAATTCACAGGTGGGGTGTAATTTTCTGTCTGAAGATTTTCATAAATCCTGGATACTAATCTAAACTGAGTTTCAGGACAAGATGGTGGCTGATTTAGCACTAAATTATGCATTTTATTATTTCACGGTGGATATGTCAATATTTTATGGTCTTCTCCCAGAGAACATCTTGATTTTCAGCGCTCTGGACCCTGAACATGATATAAACCAGTGGTTCTCAAAGTGTGGTCCCCAGACCAGAAACATCAGCTTCACTTGGAAACTTTTAGGAATGCAGATTTTCAGGCCCCATCCCCAGACCTGCTGAATCAGACACTCTGGAGGTGGGACTCGGCAATCTGTGTTTTGGCAAGGCTTCGAAGTTATTCTGTTGTATGCTCAAGTTTGAGAACCACTGGTTACGTTATATGGGAGGAAGTAATCTTTGAGTTTGGAGCAATTACAGTCTAAACGAGTAGAGAAACTAAACCTCTACAACAAGGGCTGCCAACTAGGTGGTTGCCAGAACTTGAAAGATCGCCCTTGTATTAACCTCTCCCCACCCCAACTCCATTAGTCCTGGTGTCACCGCATATCTGCCTCTGCTACAATGATACAGATGAGTAGCTTATCTCCCCAACTGGAGGGGAGGCATTTAACACACTGACTTCATAAATATTTCTGAATGAAAGTATTTGCTCCTAGAAGGCAGGATCCAGGTAAAATCCTTTTTTTCTCCCAACTGCTTTAGCTCAGTGCCCTTTACGTACTAAGTACCAAGTAAAAACTGCTGAATGTTGATCCAGACACGTCATGCTCCTTCTCTGAGCTTTAGGTTTCTTGTCTTAAAAATAAGAGGATTATATCAGACGGTAGGCCTTAGGTCTCTTTTAGCCTCAGAGAGTCTGTGGTTCTCTATTTGGAGATGTTCTCACCCAGACACTGGCAGAGGGCTAGTAATTCACTTAGTGTTAACCTGATCATGTAGAGAAGAAGAAGGAAAATAAAGATTAAAAACAGTGTACAGAGAATGTGAATATGGCTTCTAAAGGTAACTGAATAATTGTTGGCCTTCTCTCTCCTCTTTTCCCTCTTCTCTCTCTTTTCCTCCTTCTCCTCCTGTTTCCCTCCCTCTCACAGATGCATCAGCAGCAGTTGGTCCTCTCCTGGTTTTCCCTGGTTTTGCTGGCATCTCCCCTCTTGGCCATATGGGAACTGGAGAAAGATGGTAACCAGACTTTCCTTATTCTCTCTTAGAACCCGGAGGCTCCAGGTTCTGAGCCAGGCCTCTCGGGCAGCCCTGTGGGGAAATCAGACTGAAATGGGCAGCCACGCATTGGGGCTTCCTAGTGGGAGCCATCACTCTGGGGAAACTCACACAGGCTGTGTGTCCTTTTTACACCTTCGAGGGTGTCTATATTGTTGGCTTTCACATTAGATACATGAGAAGGAGCTTTTGGTGGACTGTGGTGGGAAGAGATCTGGACTTGGTTAGTATTACTAAAAACCAGCTGTATCATATGATTAAGATTCCAAAGTGAAGGATTTAAAAAGCCTACGAACTATGTTCTAGCATCTCCCACTCCACCATACGATATCACCCCCTCAACTGGCACTCAGATGACTTACCTCTGACCAAGCACTTTGGGGAAAGCATAGGATTTAGACTCACATTGACTTGGGTTCTAAAGCTGGTTCTGACACTTCTCAGTTATGTGACCTTCAGCTGGGTCACCTCTGAACCTCGGTTTCCTCAACTGTAAACTGGGGATTACAAACTGACACCTACCACCTGGAGTATTAAATGTGTTGGTGAATGCTGAATACAGCCCAACTGACAGTAAAGTGAAAGTAGATGTGAGCTAGTATTATTGTTTTGATTGTTTAAAATAATGTCTCTGATGATTCAGGAGAACCTATTTATTATCCCAATAATCAGTAAAAATCATTAGTAGAATAATAGAATAGGTATCAGTGGAATAAGGGGTCCCCTCTGTCCTTCTCGTATCTCACACACAGTGAATATGTGTTAACTGATTGTTGGTTGTTCCTGAAAGACCCTCAGATGTTTCTTATTGAAGCCAACATAATAATGTTGGCAATTACTGTCTTTAATAGTGTAATAATAATAATAGTTAATATTTATTGAGCACAGTATCTCATTTAATTCTCACAGCAACCATATGAAATAGGGACTGTTTGTACTCCATTTTACAAATGTTGAAAATAGAGGCTACAGAGATTAAGTAACTTACCCAATTTCACATACCTGGTAAGGGTGGAACAGGAACTTGATCCCAATTCTGTCTCACTTCCAAGCCAGTGCACTCAAGTATTTGAAGAAGGTTTTACAAGAAGCACATGAAGCAATTGTTTCCTATGTCCTTGGAGAACTGAGCAAGAGGAAATAGGCATAAATTAAAAATGAAGTCATTTCAGCTGATAATCAGAAATAATCTTTTGACAGTCGGAGGGTACAACACTGAAATGGGTGCCTGAAAGAAATTTTGGCCTATTCCTCTATTCCTAAGAATTTCGGGAAGACAAGAATCCAGCCATCCCCGCTGTGTCCCAGGAGGGTCTGAGAGCATTAGACCCTCCTTTGAGTAAAGGCAGAGGCCTGAGCCAGATGATTGTGCCAGATCCCTTCCAACCCTGGGATTTTTAGTGAGTTCGGGAACCTTGGCCCTCGCATAGTTAATTAACCCTTAGTTACTTCTGATTTGGTAAACCACAGAAATTCCAGAAAGTCAATGTGAGAAACACTGAGAGGGCTTGTGACTCTGGACACAAGATGAGAAGGTGAAGCCAAGCACTAGGTTCTAGATGCTCCTCATCAGGCTCCCTCCTGCATTTGTTGTCCCTGTCCCCGGACAAGGTGCAGGGGACCTTAGTTCTGAGTCTTAGTTGTGACAGGAAAATAGCCACACTGTTCAGTCGCCAGTGTGGCAAAGAAAAACTAGAGAAAGCCAAAGGTGCCACGTGGTTTTATGTCAGCACAGCTGATCGTTTCCAAAGAGTTGGGTCTCAAATGCTTTTTACCTCTTGTCTGTGTTACCCAGTCAGTAGTTATAAATCCCTTTGATGTAAAGTGAGAACTTTATATTCCACAGTGCTTTCCATTTGGATGCCAACAACAAGAGCCACCATTTATAGAGCACTTAAGGGGACTGGGTTAAGCTCTCATATAAATTAGTGTATAATCCACATCTCGACCTTCTGAAGCGAGTACTGGTATTGTGTTCACTTTAAAGATGATGCTGCTGAAGCTTAGAGTAATGGAATGTCTTGCCTGAGGCCACAGGCTAGTGTGAGATAGAGCTGAATCTAAACCCAGACCTGCGTGACTCAAAAATCCAGGCTCTTAACCGCAGTGCCTCTCAAACCTGAGTGGGCATGAAAATCATCTGGAGAGCTAGAAAAACAGATTACTGGGCTCATCCCAAAGTTTCTGATTCGGCAACTCAGAATTCACATTTTTTTTTTAATTTTATTTATTTATTTTTCCCCCAAAGCCTCAGCAGATAGTTGTATGTCATAGCTGCACATCCTTCTAGTTGCTGTATGTGGGACGCGGCTTCAGCATGGCCGGAGAAGCGGTGCGTCGGTGCGCTCCCGGGATCCGAACCCCGGGCCGCCAGCAGCAGAGCACGCGCACTTAACCACTAAGCCACGGGGCCGGCCCAGAATTCACATTTCTAACAGATTCCCAGGGGATGTTGCTGACAGTGGTTCCATGATCATGCTTGGAGAACCACTGCATTCAACTATTCTATTCAATTAGTAATCGATGCATGAATGAATGAAGGAAGCTTTGATGCAACACACTCTCTGAAATATTATACTAAGCCATTCCTCCACTGCCGGTGTAGATAGATATTGGTGTTGGAGATCCAGTGCAAAGCCAGAGACAGAAGGTCTGAGATGTAGCTCTTGTGCTTCTAACTTGATATAACCTTGTTTAGCCTGTTGGTCTCAGTACCCTCCTCTATAAAATGGAAGACTGAGATCTACTGAATTGCCTCATAGGAGTGTAAATAGCTAAAAAAAAAAAAAAAAAGAAAAAAAAAAACAGAGAGAATGAAAATCTCCATTGGTGAATTTCATGCAGTAGGAATTAAATCCCTAAATCCCCACGGAAAATTACAAGACAGTTCTCTCTGCAGTTGTCTGACCCTTTGGTCTGTGAATGACAATAACAACTGAGTTTACTGTGGTGGGCACTGTGCTAAGTGCTTTCCTTAAGTACTTTACTAAGTGCACTGTCCTAAGTGCTTTTTTCATTTAATCCTCACAGCCAAACCTACGCCGTAGATACTATTATTATTGTCATTTTACAGATGAGGAGACTGAGGCTCAGGTGATTAAGTACCTTGTTCCAAATTCCCCAGCCAGCTAGTGGAGACAGGATCTCAGTCCCGGTCAGTCTTTCTCGACTCTCTCCCTTGCCTAATTCCCTATGAAACTGAAATGGTACTGGAAGTTTCTTATCTCCACCTGGGCTTCAGCAAAGAATCTTGTGCTGTTTGCATTTTTCAGTATATCAAGGCCTTCTTCATCTGCCAGCTAATCAGATGTTAATTATTAATGGCAGCCTGCCAGTTAGTGAGTCAACGGCAGCCGTAAAACTCTTTGCTTCTCTCATCCATGACTTTGAACCCAAGTGGGGCTCAATACCCTGAGATCATCTCAGCATGCATTTGCTATGATGAGCAAGGTTGTGCTTAGATGGTGCAGATGCCCAGGTGGCTCAAAACACACAGTCCTGGAGTTCCTGGAGCTCATAGTCTGGTTCTCCATTCCCTGTGCTCTCCAGTGTATGTTGTAGAATTGGATTGGTACCCTGATGCCCCTGGAGAAACGGTGGTCCTCACCTGCGACACCCCTGAAGAAGAAGGCATCACCTGGACCTCGGACCAGAGCAGTGAGGTCTTAGGCTCTGGCAAAACCTTGACCATCCAAGTCAAAGAGTTCGGAGATGCAGGCCAGTACACCTGTCACAAAGGAGGCGAGGTTCTGAGCCATTCTCGCCTGCTGCTTCACAAGAAGGAAGATGGAATTTGGTCCACTGACATTTTAAAGGACCAGAAAGGTAATTCCATTCCCTTGGATAGTGTCAATTTTCTCTTTTGCTCCCTAGGAGATACAAAAATTAAAAAATTTAAAACATGACTAGTGTAGTTTATGCAGTAATATCAAGTCCCTTACTGAAACCACCCAGAACCTACATTTTCCTTTGTTAGACGCTTTGGGTTATCAACCACCCAAATCTCGTGTTGAGAGAGTTTCATGGTGAGTCTGGATGCTTTTCATGAGGTTCTCTTTAAATAATAGTGATATTATTGGATGACTAATGAAAGTTAACCAATGTGTATAGTGCATAATTCAGCACCAAGGTGATAGCCTTGAAAGAAATTAAGAGCTCCCTCCAATGTGTTAGATGTGTAGCATCCTACTGAGAACGTCCTCGCTGGACTGCCTGCCCGGGGAACAGCATCATTTCCCAAGGAAATAAACGGAAGATCTTCACTCTTGTACCAGTTGGTGGCCTGTGATTAATCACGATCAAAATATTTCTGAAAGAAAACCCCTAAATATTGAATTTTTGTTTTTCTCAAATCCAGAACCCAAAAATAAGACCTTTCTAAAATGTGAGGCAAAGAATTATTCCGGACGTTTCACCTGCTGGTGGCTGACGGCAATCAGTACTGATTTGAAATTCAGTGTCAAAAGCAGCAGAGGGTAAGTGAAACCACTCCGATTTCTCAGCATTTTGCTAGAACTATTTTATTAAGAAAATGAGAGTGACCTAGCAATGCCCTATCAGTCGATGATAAGGGAGAAAACAAAGTCAAACCCATATTTTTTCAAATATTTTCCCCCCTCCTTGCCCAAGTTGGGGGAAGAACATGGAGCTTTAAGCTAATCACCTAAACAAATGTATGCGTTAGAACAGGATATTAGTGGGGCCTGGGAATAGCCTCTGCTGTGTTTGAACCCACTCACCCAAATTGCCGGGTGATGCTTCATTGAGGCTCACGGCACCATGGAGAGGGATAAAAGGAGAAATCTAAGCTACAAATGACTTGCCAAAATGGCACCTTGAGTTGAAAATAGAAACAAGAGCTCTAGGGCATAGATCTTGAAAGCCCTGAAGCCGACTCCAAAAAACTCTGTGAGGCCTCTAGAAATTTTCCCAGGGCCACTTCAACTCCTTTTTCTTCTGCCGACACCACTAATCTGAACTTCCCTGTCCACTACACTGGGACTTTCTCTAAGAAACCAATTTCCGTGGATGCAGAACCTAGGTCAGCCCCTCTACGTGACTCCCTCCACTCGTTGTCTAAGTTCAATGGAGGATGGAGGAGCACCCCTAGGATGGAAGAGCACCCCTAGGATGGAGGAGCAA